AAAGGTGAGAGAGGTAAATGACAGAGATAGAGATTCAAAATGATAATCAAAATTTAGAAAGAACTCTTTGATCACCTTGGGAAGATATGAGGGAATCAACTCAATCTGAAAACTGGTAAATAAGGGAAATCTAAAATTTTTATTCTTCCTTTTGTGTATGAATTACAAGACCAAAGAGCTGATAAGAGAAAATTACTCCTTATAAAAGTCTAACTAATAAATGAAGGAAACATAAAATTCAAACACTATTTTGAAATCCCTAATAAAATAAAACAACTAAGTAACAATTATCAATGACTACTTAGGGTTAAAAAAATGATAGGAAACTTTACAGCTATATAGAGCAGACTGGCAATACTTGAATCCAGTGATAAATATTATTACCATAGAGAAATACTCAAGACATTATGTGCTTTGTGATATAATGCAAAAAAATGCACAATAATCCACATAGCATTCTTCAAAAAATTTCAAATATAAGTCTTAATAAGTCTCTGGATAGAACCATCAACTCTAAAAAATAGAGAAACAYCACAATGTACTAAAGGATACCACAATGATATAGTCAGCAATAAAAAAATGAAAATTTCTGCAGGACAAACAGCTTAGTGTATTAAATAATAAGAGGGAAAAAAAGGATAGGAAGAAAACTAACTAAATTAAAGTGACTTAAAACTATTGATTGATTGTAATACAATAACGTTTAAATTTTGATTCAAATAAATCAACTGTTAAAAAAACTTTATGAGACAAAGGGAAAATGTAAATACTAATTAGATAGTTAATAATATTAATTACTAATTTAGGTTTTTTTAGTTGTCAATGGACCTTTATCTTACTTACTTACACGTGGTGCTGAGAATCAAATCCAGTGCCTCACACACACTAGGCAAGCGCTCTACCATTGAGCTACAACCCCAGCCCTTAATGTAATATTTTTATATGTGATAATAATATTATAGTTCTATTGAAACAACAAAAAAGTGTCTTTTAAAGAGGATGTATAACCGATGTGATTCTGCAACTTGTATTTGGGGTAAAAAATGGGAGTTCATAACCCACTTGAATCAAATGTATGGAAGATGATATGTCATGAGCTTTGTAATGTTTTGAACAACCAATAAAAAAAAAGATACAGCCATATGCATATATATGTATTATACACACACACATACACACACACACACACCATAAAAAATAGAAATGTGTGTATGATTTGCTTCAAAATAGTCTGGAAGGAAGATCCAAGGAGCAATGGCATAAATTAAATAAAATTGGCTGTGTATTCCCTGTTGAAATTGGTTGGTGAATGCATGAAAGTTTATTAACCTACTCTCTTTATACATACATTTTTTAATGCCCATGATTAAAACTGGTTGGGGGATAGAAAATTGTCCCTCGTAGATAAGCATCCTTATTTAACACACTGACCAAGCCCACCTACACATAAGATATTATTCCAGGTATTAGCCAAAGAGAATAACAGAAAACTTAAAACTTCTTGCAACCTACCAACAGACAAATGAAATAGAATATTACCCAATTGCTAACAGAGAAAGATGTAACTGGAAGCATACAGCTCCAGAGATTTGCTAATAATAGTTGACAAATATGAACATGAACGATAAGCAAATGATATGTTGTAATGAGCTATTTTGGGGAAGGAAGGCTAATCACCTCTTATTCTTTTCTCTTCTGATCCATAACTTTTCAATATTACCAAAATAATAAATTAAAGTAAAAAACAACATCCACTTTCTTCCTCCATTTCATATAAACATCGACATTTATCTTATTTAGTGATTTTTCGTTTCCTTTTAATCTTTAAGGATGACTTAAAATCAAAATCAAAATTGTTACACATCTGGCCACTCCACTCTTTTTCAACTTTCTAGTATAAGCTAGTAAGTTTTTAACTAAAAGAAATCTRAACAAAGGAAAAATTTTAAAACAAAAGCTTAAGAACTTTCCATGTAACCATGGAATATTAAGGCAAAATGACCTTCTGTGAAAACAAAGATAATAAAAAAACTACTGAGTTTAAAATTGTTAGACTTTCCTAACCCAATAAATATTGTCCATTTCCTAAAAGTTAAGAACTAAATGAAAAGGAATTAGAGACAGATTTTAATAAAGTATCATATTTTAAAAATTAAACTTGTGTAAATATSAATACCTACTTATATACATAATTATAAGCAATGACTTTAAACATTTCAAAATATGCCTATATGTATACTGTTCCTATATCATTTTTTATAAAAAATAATATATATACACACACACTTATACTTTTGCTCCTGGGCTCAAGTGATCTTCCTGCTTCAGAGACAATTCCCTAATAGCTGGAACTATAGGTATGTGCTAATTTGCCTAGCTCTGAATTTATATTTTTAGTGGGTTTTTTTTTCCCCTTAGGGCTAGAGATCCAGTGCCAGGACCTCAGGCATGCTAGGCAAATGTTCTACCATTCAGCTATACCCTCAGCCCTAAAAATCTTTTAAACTATTATAGTACTAAATAGATTCTCTTTACTAATATTTTGTTATAATTAAGCAGTAAATAGGTTACAGTAAGAAAGTACACCTGAAAGATGTATATAATATAAAGAAATTAACATTACTTATAGAATGAGCCATCCCATTTCACTGGTGTCTGGGAGAGGCCAGACACCAGTTTCTAGGTCGTAAAGAGAGGAACAAGTAACATTTCGGATTTTAGATGAAAGAATAAAACACTGTTTAACAGAAATACAATATTGATGACATCACCTAGTTCCCCATGAAGGACTTCAAGTTCAAAAAAGCATTAAGGGAAAAAAATGAAATATATAGAGCAGTTATGAATCACTTATAAAATTCATACTAAGAGACAGGATTAAATATACAGCGTCTAAACATGTAAGGTGCTATTCTAAGTGTATTTTCTAATTTGGGGAACACTATTTGGTACATGGTTTCTCTGAAAACATCCAACTCTGACTTCTCTAACGGCACAATTTTACCCTACAGAGCATTACCTGCTGAATTCTTAAATGGAAGTAACCAATAGAAAGGCCAAGCTTCCATGAAGAGGTAAGCAAGTCCAACACAGGGCCAAGCAGCCTGGGTATCAACTGCTGCTTTGTCAATTATTTTGGCAAGAACAGAATTCCACATCTATCTTGAAAGGACAGATTTCCTAAAAATAACATCATGTACTGTATCCTTAAAAAAAAAACTGACCAGCTAAATTAGGAACCAAAAAAGATAATCAGATGAATGAAGCACTAGAAAAAAGAATAAAATAAACAAATATATATATGTGTGTGTGTTTGTGTGTGTGTGTGTGTGTGTATATATATATATATATATATATATACATATATATATGCATGTATGTATATATAATGGCTGAATATTCAATACCAGTTGCTTATAAACAAAAGAAGAAAAAACATTGAGACTCAAACATGAAGAGGTACAAGGTTAGACAAAACCCAGAACTCTATCTCCCTGATTTCTGGCCCTATATTCCTTCCACTACACAGCATTATCTTTTCTTTCAATGGTGTCTTTAATCAGACCATTATTAAAACAACTTGCATTTACTTAAGACACAGGTCAGATGTGAACATCCCAAACAGCTTGTCCAATRACACTTTAGTCCAATGACACTTTTTTGTTGTTTCAATAGAACTACAATGTTATTATCACATATAAAAATAGTACATTAAGGGGCTGGAGATGTGGCTCAAGCGGTAGCGCACTCGCCTGGCATGCGTGCAGCCTGGGTTCAATCCTCAGCATCACATACAAATAAAGATGTTGTGTCCACCAAAAACTGAAAAATAAATATTAAAAAAAAATTCTCTCTCTTTCTCTCTCTTAAAAAAATAGTACATTAAGGGCTGGGTTTTTTATCTAAGAAATAAGTAAAATCATTTATTATTTCAATCAGTATTTACTATTAGAACCTGAGGTGGAGTCACTACCCAACTTGCCCAATATCAAACATTTCTAGGTAACATAAGATCTAAAAGAACCCATCCCTTTTCACTCCCATCCTTACATGCTTTGCCCTTCTAAAAACACAAAACCCTATCTAAAGCCTGATCATGTATTCTCTTCACAGACACCAAAGCCTAATTTGGATGTTTCTCCCCACAGATTTGGTCCATAGAATTCCATGTTTGTCTTCATTTTCAGGGCACAAGGTACTTTGTACCTGTTATGGTTCCATCAATCTAAGACCACAATCTATGAAATTAACATGGTCCAAGTTCATTTTATAAAACAGTTGCTCAACTATTAAGCACCTAAAAAGTACCCTGTTGGTCTACACTTCATATTCAGATTATTAATACCAGTGAGTTTTAATTCTGAGGTAAGCATGTTAAACATCCCTAAATTTATTATGTTTGCTTAGAAATTTTTTCATGTACCTTTTTAATCCTTAAAACTTCACTATATTCTAACACAATCTAGACTCTCATCAAATGACAAAAACTTTGAGAGTAAATTTTGTCATACAAATTTTTACATGCAGACATAATATCACCCCACCCAAAACATATATTCTCAAAATTCTGTGAAATCCTACTTGGTTTTTCTCTATTCCTCCTAATATACTCTTTGAATTAATATGCAATCCTTAAAATAAAGGAACACAATAAAAATAAAATTAATCAAAGCAAACTCAAAATGCTACACCACCAGAGCAAGAGCAACATCTCTAAACAGCCTTTGCTCTAAAAACTCCTGCAGAATAATTGTTTCTCTTTTAATGAAATGTACCTGTAAAAAGAGCACTATATTACAAACATGATATATTTCAAAACACAAATTATATTAAGGTACAGTCCTACACTAAACAACTGAATGATAAGCATAATTTAAACAGCAAAATAACAAAAATGTCATCTCTTTCTTAAATGTTATTAATTTCTGTCAACAACTGTCATGCAAGAGTCATAATAAATGGGAACAGTTYGTACCTAAAAAATATTCTGAGAAACTTACCATCATTTTGGTTCTTGCCCTTCATCTCCTCCCTCCAGGATGGAATGGTGTTGAGAGGAACATAGTCCCTTATGTATTCTTTGCGTCTCTCCTCTAAGGTCATCTTCAGTAAACGTTCTTGCAAAATAAAAGCAGAATCTCCATTTGTATTTAATTATTAAGCTTTGGAATTATTTTATACTTTAAATATTAACCATGTTAAACTAACCAAAGACTTAGTATGGTCTTTTTTTTTTTATAATTGTATAGAAACAAAGTAACTTTTTTTTAAAGAGGGGGGGGATTTTTTAATATTTATTTATTTATTTATTTATTTTTAGTTTTTCAGCGGACACAACATCTTTGTTTGTATGTGGTGCTGAGGATCGAACCCGGGCCGCACACATGTCAGGGGAGCGCGCTACCGCTTGAGCCACATCCCCAGCCCTTAGTATGGTCTTAAGGAACACCAAAATGTGTGTTAAAAGGTGTCAAATTAACCTCATAATAGCAAGAAAAATAAAAACAAAGCCTGATGAAGAAGACACTCTCATGATGGTCTAAGAAATAAGTAAAATCATTTATTCTTTCAATCAGTATTTACTAACAGCCTGGTACCTACCAGGGGATATGTTTATACACCCTAGATATAAAGGTGATCCTTAACCTTGAGTTCACAGGACAAAAGATGAAACTGAAAACATACAAAATAATACTTATGTAGGTAAAATTTWAAATGGTAAGATAAGTCAGTCACAGTGGTGCAACACACCTCTTATYCCAGCAACTCAGGAGACTGAGACAGGAGGATCACAAGTTCAAGGATAGCTTTAGCAACTTAGCAAGACACTTAGCAACTTAGTAAGACCCGGTCTCAAAACAAAAAGGGCTGGGGAGGTAGCTCACTAGTAAAGCAACCCAGGTTAGATTCCCAGTACCAAATAAAAGAGGAAAAAAATGAAGACAGGTAAGTACAAATAATGGAAACACTCACAAAAAAAAAAAAAARAAAAGAAAAAAGAAAAAGAAAAAAGATAGCCACCAAGAGAATTCCTTGATTCTACAAGGCCATTACCAATAAAAGTTCACTTTCACTGTCAGGTTATGCTATTAACATTATAATACACTACATTGTCAAGAAAACTCCCCCCCACCCCGGGCTGGGGATGTGGCTCAAGCGGTAGCGCGCTCGCCTGGCATGCGTGCGACCCGGGTTCGATCCTCAGCACCACATACCAACAAAGATGTTGTGTCCGCCAAGAACTAAAAAATAAATGTTAAAAAATTCTGTCTTTAAAAAAAAAAAAAAAAAAAAGAAAACTTCCCCCAAAAAAGTGATATGTAAGCTGACTCATGAAGGATGTATAGAGTTTTGCCATAAAGAGGCAGAAAGTAAGGACATTTTGACCAACAGAACAATATTAAAACTAAGGAAATGCAACTAGTTTAATGAAAAAATGAAAGATACAATATCAGAAAGTGATTGGCTACAGAAGTGAAAAATAGCTGAAAACTAGATAAAACATAGCTATTTAGGAACTTGTACACCATGCTGAGCAGTTTAACTTTACCCTATAGAGCAGACCACTAATATTCAAAGTTGATTATGCATATCCCAGTAGGTACATAAAATGATCTACTAGAATGAATGAACAAAATGTGAAAATTAATTTTTTAATCTTAAAAACAAGGAAGAACTTGAGCCAGTGTTGTGGCTCAGTAGTGGAGCACTTGCCTAGTATGCATGAGGCACTGGGTTTGATCCCCAGCACCACATAAAAATAAATATAAAATATTAATAAATAAAATAAAGGTATTGTGTTTTTCTACAACTAAAAAAAAAACAAGGAAGAACTTAAGATTTACTAATATTCAACATATAAACTCACTGGCAACCTCACTCTATAGGTCAGCGGTTGTACATCTTTACCAAAGATCTCCACGATATATATAGTGAATGACAGTCACAATCTCACCGTAATTCTCTTTTGGCTTATTACATGGCACTGTAGTTTAGATGATTTAACTTAAAAATGCATAGTATATAATTCAAGGAAATTCAACCCTAGCAAAATAATCACTTTAAAAGATTCTTTCAAGCTGGGTATGAAAATGGTGTTAGTGCTTATAGCCTCTGCTACTCTGGAAGCTAAGCTCAATACTTTTCCACACTCCTACAACTAGCTCTTCTTCAATCATATCAAAAGAAGGTATTTTAATCAGAGATAACATTCAAACCACATTACTAAGGTGATTAGGGTCAAAAAATTGAGTTTCAGGTACCTGTGGGACATTCTTGAAATCAAGAATCTTGAACTTGGAGAAAGGTCCAACTTCAAGAACTGGAAATTAGGGCTGGGGTTGAAGCTCAGTGGTAGAGCACTCGCTTAGCACATGCAAGACCTTGGGTTCGATCCTCAGCACCACATAAAAATACATAAATAAAATAAAAGGTATTGTGTTCATCTAAAGCTAAAAGAATATTTTAAAAAATGATTTGGAAATTATAACCTAAATTTCTAGTCTAAAGGAATAGAGGAAGGAAGAGAGAAAAGAAGGGGGAGGGGATATAACCTCAAAAAACAATTTTTTTAAATTTTTTTTAAAGAGAGAGAGAGAGAGAGAGAGAGAGAATTTTTTAATATTTATTTTTTAGTTTTTCGGCGGACACAACATCTTTGTATGTGGTGCTGAGGATCGAACCCGGGCCTCACGCATGCCAGGCGAATTTTAAAAAGCACTTAGGCATATTTATCAGGCACAAACAGATGAACAAAGAAATAAAACCTACTTGTCACTGGGGTTACAAGGTCCCATTGAGATGTGGAAAAAATTAGGAAAAAGGATTTGAATAAGTAGAAGGATTTGAATAAGTAGAAGAAGCATTCTTCCTACAAGAATAAAAATTACACAAAAATTATAAAAGCCATTGTTTTCATTAACTAGCACTGAGGTGGTACACAGTGCTGTTGGGGTTGTAATCTAAATTATGCAAATATGTGTTGCATCTCTTTGTTGCAGTGTCCTTTTAAGGTAAGCAGGCAGATATTATTCCCAATGTACAGACAAGGCAAATAAGGAAGACAAGACGGGTCAAATAACTTACCTAAGATTCTATATAGCTCAATAACTAGGATTCAAATCTAGGCAACTGTGTTCAGAGCTCTTGACCCTACTGTATACTACCCTATAATTTCCTACCTCATAGGATTGTTGTGAGAATCAAACAAGATAACCTATGTAAGGCAATAAGAATAATGCTGAGCACACAAATAGGATTTAAATGGTAACTCCTCTTATACCACCATCATAGTTATTACAAAATGATTTTAGGAACATATGTTTCATTAGAATATAACTAAAATCCAGGAGGCTATGGAGGAGTGAGCAAAAGAAGGCAAATGAGAACAACTCCAGGGCGAAGTGCTGTGAGAATTGTTATAGGCATAGAGAGGAACACAAAGACACTGAGAAATTAAAACATACCCAAGAACAAATAAATCATGGCAGAAGATCTCAACTACAGGAGATGGGATGAAGAACACAAGCAGTGGAGTTTATCTTAGAAACAAAGAAGTGCTTCCTCTAAGATAGGAAAAAAACCTAAAGAACATGTAAAGAAACAAACCAATAAGACCATGGAAGAGAATATTTAGGCTGTTCATGTTTTAAGGCATTTACTTTCTCTGTTAATTAAAAAAATATATATATCATCTGTGTATTACAAAGAGATAGGATCTTGGTAGAGTAGAAAGCCTGAAAGGAATAGTAAATTCTGACTTATCACACAAAAATGGAAAAGAAAGATGACTGTAAATTGCTAAAAGTACTACTTTTAAAGCCTTAGATTGGGCTGGGGATGTGGCTCAAGCGGTAGCGCGCYYGCCTGGCATGCGTGCGGCCCGGGTTCGATCCTCAGCACCACATACCAACAAAGATGTTGTGTCCACCGAGAACTAAAAAATAAATAAATAAATATTAAAAAAAAATTCTCTAAAAAAAAAAAAAAAGCCTTAGATTACTAATTTGAAATTACCACAATATCAGAAATCAGGATGAAAGACATTAAGCAATTTACAGTTTTTGCAAATGTCAGAAGGTACATATAGAAATGAAACCTGTCCTCTGTCGTTCTATTTATTTAAAAGTTTAAGTATAAAGACAAAACAAAACAAGACCAATTGTAAAAACAACAAAAGTAAGTCCTAATACTTAAAATGAAAATAAACATTAAGTAGCCAGATACAGGGGCACATGCCTATAATTCCAGTGGCTTGAGAGGCTGAGACAGGAGGATCACGAGTTCAAGTCAGCCTCAGCAACAGCAAAGTGCTAAACAACTCAGTGAGACACTGTCTCAAAGTAAAATACAAAATAGGGCTGGGGATGTGGCTCAGTGGTGGAATGTCCCTGAGTTCAATCCCTGGTACCAAAAAGAAAGAAAAGAAAAGAAATACACATTGAGTCTGAATTAGGGCTAAAATACTATAATGTCTACTTAATAAATGTGGTCTTGAGCACTTCTTAGTTATTTTTTTCAACAATGAAACATACTGAAGACCACAGACATACAGTTTCTTTACCATTATATAAGATTTTTTTTAAAAGAATGATTCACCTTTCTAATGAACCCTTCCTCTGTAAACCCAACATATACGCAGGCAGACCTATTTATTAGATGATCTGAGTTTAAATACGTTTCTAGAGTGTCTTGACATTTTAATGAAGTGGGTAAGCCTTCTTTTGGATTTAAGTAACACTGCAAAAAATATTATGCCATCAACTCTCTAGTGGGATAAACTTCTCTGCTGTACTAGAAATTCTTTGTGCTTTCTTGATGGAATAATACATATGATTTTTGTACTCAAATTTTCCAAATACAAACATGTTGATAAAACATACATTAAAGTTTCAAATCATAACTCTTCCCTTTAAATTTCATGCAAAAAATAGCTTAGTTTTGGATAAGAGAAAACTACTTTAATTGCCTTCTTTGTGCATCTACTTCTTTATTTTAAAAATATTAATTTGGTTATATTTTTCCTTTAGAAGAAATAGAGAAAAAAAGACACTAAAAAGACTTAGAAATTTCTGCTTATCAGTCCAACTGTGTAGCTGTTAAGTGAATGAACCATTATAACATTGTTACTTTAGGAACTATTTTTAAGTATAACAGAAAAATAATTCTTAAGTACTCACTATAATTTCATCAGTGATTCATATTATTGAAAACAATGTCTGTCTCCACTATTTTGCCTTCATCATCATCAATAATACAAAGCTAACATTTCAAGACCATCAATAAAAATGGGTAGAAATGATTTTTCAAAGCTCATCCTTRTTGAAAATATGTGGAAAATAAATACTACTGCAAAAAACAAATCATTTTATATATCAGGCTCTTATTCTCAACAGCATTTGTTCCATGACACCAGAATTTTTAGCCCTCCAAGCTCATAATCATGAARACATTATTAAATAGCACACATTCTAATCTTTCAGTATTTTAAAGGACATTTTAATTGTGTATACAGTTACATTAAATCTTCCTGGTAGTTACTTTGGGAGGGTGGGCATCTTCCTATCCCTTCTCTCATATATTGTTGGAAACAGGCCCTACATGGAGGATTCTTTTTAATTCTCATTCTCACCTCCACCGTTTGGCTATCACCTGTTCAAAGGCTAGGACTTGCAATTAAAAAAATCTACAAGTTTTAAAGAGCTAGTATCAAAGAAACTAATTTTCAAGCCGGTCACCCAAACATGTAAGTTTACAGTATCAATACAAGCACTTTTTGTTACATATCTGTGAGAAAGGTAAAAAATAAAGAATAGAGGTGAAAAAGGAGAGGGGGAAAAATGCCAGTATCAAGTTTTACATCAGAATATAATCTGGGATAACAGAAAAGAAAGAGAAACGAAGGGAGGGGACTGAACCATACACTTGTATGTCTTAAAGGAATTAATGCTACTGTCAATTTAACCGATTTGGCTAAGCCTTGATATGCACAAAATTCAGGGATGGGTTCATTCACTGAGTGACATACAATGCACTGAACAACTTCAGACTATGAATGGGGATGTAAAACACAGAAATATATTGCTGAGTGAAAAGCCCATTCAGACTCCTCTAAAGCGCTTATCCTCACTGACAAGATGCTCCTTTCAGGTTTCCCCTAGAGTTTCAGATTTCAAAAGTCACACTGCAGCTGGGGAAGGGGACCTAGAAAGGGGATAAACACCTGAAAATGGGGACTCTTTACCAGTCTGGGGTGGAGGAAGGACAGAGCAGAGGAAGGAATGAATGAGGGTTCTGGGGCGCCAAGGCGCAGCGGCAATGCAGCCTGAGTGCCTGTCAGCGGACACTTGTCCGTGGGACACCCCAGCCAGGGGTGCCAAAGTCCCAGTTGGGATTCACAGAAACTTGTACCGCGCCAAGGGTACAAGGGATTCCATGCTGCCTGCGAGGCGAGAGCAGCCCCACCTAGGCAGAAGGTGACCGGGCGCGGCTGGAGGTAGAAAGGGGCGTGCGCCCACACGTGCGCGAGCGGCAGGTGCCTGGGGGCGGCGCGTGCACGGCGAGGCGCGCACGGGTGTGCGCGTGTGTACACACCGACACCAGAGGGAGGCGGCACCGGCCGGAGGGCGCGAGGCGGGAGCTCTAGTGGAGGGCGCCGCGGCACACACTGCCTGACCCCCGCCCCCACCCCAACCCCTACCGCCCGCACCCCCCAGGACTCGACGGGCTGGTTACCTTTCTCCTCTCTCCACACCTTTTTCTTCTTGTTGCTGGGGTACATGTTGCCGTGGGGGTGGCTGGCTTTAAGCTGCAAGTTCCCCAGGCTCACGGGCAAACAGGGTGTGTGTGTGTAGTGGGAGGGTTAGGAGGGGGCACTCGGGAAGGAAAAAGTGAAAAAGGCTCTGCGTCCCGCGTCGCTCGCCGCTTTCCAGTTGCCGCCCTCCTCCCTCAGCCCGCGCTTGGCTTTGGATCCCACCCGCCTCAGTTCGGCGGCCGCCGCCACAGCAGCACCTCAGAGCCTGTCAACTAGGTCACGCCTCGCGCTAACCTAACACCCGCGCAGGCCCCGCCTCCCAGCCGCTAGGCAGCGCCGCCTCCCATTGGCTGCACCGCCCGCCGCTCTCCGCGTTCTAGCCAAGGCGCGCCCCGACTTCGGCCCCAGRGCGCAGGCGCAGGCGCAGGCTCGGGCCCGACGCCGAGGACGTTGGGGAGCTGGAGTGGGCGGAGCAAAGGCGCGAGAGGGCTGGAAGTACCTCTCGACGGGGGCGGAGCGTGGAGCAGAGTCTTGGAGGCGCCAGAGCGGGGCGGTGCTTCTAGCTGTCTTCTCCGCTCTGAGAGGACCAAAGGGCGTGGCCTGTAAAGCTAAGTGCTCCAGGTGACTGAGGAGCCAGTGGGCAAAATCCTCCTCAGCAAGTGGAAGGTATGCAASCTGGAGAGGAAAGTGAGTGCAAAGGAATTGTCCATGCTCACTGTCACTGCCCTCTCTGGGCGAGCTCTGAAGCTTTCCTTTGGGTGGGCAAATAAGACCAAAACAAGTGAAAGAATTGTAGAAATGGTTCAAGAACTTACGCAATCAGCTGCCCAACCTTGAAGTAATAATTACAAATTTCATTGTAATTCAATGAAGTTTAGAAAGACAGAGGTAAACTGGGCTGTCTTAAGAACTGTTTTAAGAACTGGGAAGTTGTAGGCAACCAAAATACTGTATTAGAAACATAAGTCTGAATTGCTTTGGGCCTCACTGAGTTGCTGAGGCTGGCTTGGAACCTGTAATCCTATTGTCTCAGTCTCCTGAGCTGCAGGGATTACAGGCAGGCACCACCAAAGATATTTAGTTCTTATTTAGAAATGCTAAATGCAAGGTCTGCAATAAAGTGCATCATGTTAGGAAGTTTCCCTTCAAAAAGTTAACTGTGAGTATTCCAGCCTAGGGCTGGCTTATCCTTCCAATTGTGCTTTTTGTGTAATATGTAGAAACATTACACTATTGATTGTCCCTTTTCTCATGTCAACTCAAAGAACCGGAACTTTGGACTGGGGTTGTGACTCAAGGGTAGCGCATTTGCCTGGCATATGTGAGGCACTGGGTTCAATTCTCAGCACCACATATAAATAAATAAAATAAAGATCTATCAATGGCTAAAAAAATATATATTTAACAGGAAAAAGAAGAGAAACCTTTATTGTATTAAGGTTCTGGTATTTGGACAGCAAGTATTTCAAAATGCCATTATCATTAAAAAATATATTAAATATTTAATTATTAAATATTTGTTGGGCTGGGGATGTGGCTCAAGCGGTAGCGCGCTTGCCTGGCATTCGTGCAGCCCCTGTTCGATCCTCAGCACCACATACCAACAAAGATGTTGTGTCCGCCAAGAACTAGAAAATAAATATTAAAAATTCTCTCTCTCTCTCTCTTTCTCTATCTCTCTCTCTCTCTCTCCCTCTCTCCCTCTCTCTCCTCTCTCACTCTCTCTTTAAAAAAAAAAAAAAATATTTGTTGTCTCAAAAGTACCTGAAATGTACCAAATGAAGCTCACGTTCCTTCCCCACTTTGTCCTCTTCCATTTTCCCATCTTTTTGAATGGCTTCATCATCCATTCACTTGAATAACCCAAGAACCTAAACACCATCCCTCATGTCTGTTATAACTTCATGCTAGTATCAAGTGAATTGCTAACTCTGATAAATTTTATCTCCTATATGAATCTAGAATAGCTCTATTTTCCAATAGCATTGCAGTAAGCTCAGTCTGAATTTAACTGGACCACTGCAAAGATTTCTGCAAAGACTTCCTCATTAGCCTTTATGTCCACTTTTGCACTTCTTCTGTCCATTCTCTACTCTACATCTGGGGTTATCTTGTGAAATGTAATCATTTCATCTCACTGTTCTAAAGCATTCAATGACTTTCTGGTGGCCTTTGCTATGGATTGAATTATGTCCTCCCAAAAGTCCATATGTTGAAGCCCTAACCTTCAAAATGATTATATTTTAACTATATCTTTAAAAAACAAGAGCCAACAATATACTGTCTCCAAGAGATTCACCCCCTAGGCAAAGGCATGCACAGACTGAAGGTGAAATAATGGGGCTTTGGGGGGTGGGAAATCACTCAAAATGGATCTCATAAACAAGCAGTGGTTTCTAGTCTCATATCAGATAAAGTAGACTTCAAGCCAAAGTTAATCAGAAGGGACAAAGAAGAACATTTCATACTGCTTAAGGGAATCATACATCAACAAAACATAATAATAATAAATATATATGACCCAAACAATGGAGCATCTATGTACCTCAAATAAATCCTTCTTAATTTCAAGAATCAAATAGACCACCACAAAATAATACTGGGTGACTGTAACACACCTCTTATCACTAGATAGGTCCTCCAAACAAAAACTAAATAAATAAGCTAAAAACTAAAAAATACAATTAATAATTTAGACTTAACAGACATATATAGAATATTTCCTCCATCAAGGACTGAATACACTTTCTTCACAAAGAAAGACAAAGGCAAAAACATACACTGGAGAAAAGATAGCCTCTTCAACAAATGGTGCTGGGAAAACTGGAAGTTCATATGTAACAAAATGAAATTAGATCCCTATCTCTCACCCTGCACAAAGCTCAACTCAAAGTGGATCAAAGACCTAGGCATTAGACCACAGACCCTGCACCTACTAGAAGAAAAAGTAGACCCAAATCTCCATCATATCAGTTTAGGACCTGAATTTCTCAATAAGAATCCTAAAGCACAAGAAGTAAATTCAAGAAACAATAAGGAGCTGTGGTTGTAGCTCAGTGGTAGAGCACGTGCCTCACATGTGTGAGGCACTGGGTTCAATTCTTAACACCATAAAAATAAATAAAATAAAGGTACTGTTTTTTAATTTGTAAAAAAAACAAATTAAAAAAGAATCAATAAATGGGATGTATCATACTGAAAAGCTTCTTTTGTTGTTGTTGTTGATGGACCTTTATTTTATTCATTTATTTATATGGGGTGCTGAGAATTGAACCTAGTGCCTCACACATATGAGAAAAGTGGTCTACCACTGAGCCACAACCCCATCCCATAAAAAGCCTCTTTACTGAAAGTAAACAATAAAGAACCTGAAGAGAGAGCCTATAGATTGGGAGAAAATCTTGGCACCTGTACCTCAGATAGATCTTTAATCTCCAAGATATATAAAGAACTCAAAAACTTAAAAACAACAAAAAAGCCAAATAACCCAATCAATAAATAAGCAAGGGAACTGAACAGGCATTTCACAAAAGAAGAAATATAATCAGTCAACAAATATATGAAAAAATTTTCAACATCCCAAGCAAATAGAGAAATGCAAATTTAAGCTACACTGAGATTTCATCTCATTCTAGTCAGAATTGCAATTATCAAGAATACAAGTAACAATGTTGGTGAGGATGTGGGGGAAAAGGTATACTCATATATTGCTAGTGAGACTGCAAATTGCTGCAATCRCTATGGAAAGCAGTATAGAGATTCCTCAGGAAACTAGAAATGGACCCACCATTTGACCCAGTTATCCCACTCCTGGGTATAAACCCAAAGGACACAAAATCAGCACACTATAGTGATGCAATCACATCCATGTTCATAGCAACTCAACTTACAATAGCTAAGCTATGGAACTAATCTAGATGCCCTTCAACAGATGAATGGATAAAGAAAATGTGGTACATATACACAATGGTATAGTATTCATTGTGAAGAATGAAATTATGGTATTTGCCAATGAATGGACAGAACTGGAGACTATCATGCTAAGTGAAATAAGGCAATCCCAAAAAACAAAAGCCTACTCCACTTATATATGATGTGTCAAAATGCATTCTACTGTCATGTATAACTAATTAGAACAGATAAAAGTATATATTTAGAAAAAGCATTTGTGGGGGGCTGTGATTGTGGCTCAGCAGTAGAACGCTCACCTGTCATGTGCAAGGTGCTGGGTTTGATCCTCAGCACCACATAAAAACGAATAAATAAAATAAAGGTATACAAAAATATTTTTTAAGTTTAAAAAAAAGAAAAAGCATTTAGGAAACCATGCAACAGCCTGAAAATTAAATAAACTAAATGAAGATGAGRGGGAAAAAAACAAAGGCCGAATGTCCTCTCTGATATGCAGATGTTTTCAAAACAAGTGGTGGTGAGGGGGGTGGGTGATAAAAGTCACTGGATTAGACAAGGGAGGAAAATTAAGGGAAGAGAGGGGGGACTAGAAGAGGAAAGGCAGTAAAATTAATGGGACATAACTTTCCTATATTCATATATGAATACATGACCAGTGTTACTCCCCATCACGTTCAATCACAAAAATGGGAAGTTATACTCCATATATGTATAATATATCATATTATATGCTACTATCATGTATAACCAAAAAGAACAAATAAAAATTTTTAAAAATGACATCATAAGTGCTGAGCGTGGTTGCGCATGATTGTAATCCCAGCGACTCCAGAGGCTTGAGGCAGGAGGATTGCGAGTTCAAAGCCAGCCTCAGCAAAAGCAAGGCATTAAGCAACTCAGTGAGATCCTGTCTCTAAATAAAATACAAAATAGGGCTGGGGATATGGCAAGTGCCCTGAGTTCAATCTCTGGTACTCCCCCTAAAAAAATGATATTATAAAGTGGAACCCTCCTAATATGATAGAGTTGACTTTATAAAATGAGAGATACCTTTGCTTCCTTCCTCCCCCACTTTTTCTTTTTCATATGAGAACACAGAGAAGGCATCCATATGCAATCCAGGAAAAGGGTTCTCAAAAGAACCTTACTATGCTGGCACCCTGATCTTAGACTTTCAGCTTCCAGAATTGTGAGAAAATAAATGTTTATTTAAATCACTTAATCTATGGTATTTTTTATGGTAGCCTAAGGTGAGTAATACCTAAGTCTTCTCATAACGATTAAATCATGAAGAATGGAACAAACATCACTTATCAGTA